GTGTGCCTTGGCAGTAAGAGCTTTTTGAACATTAAAGCATGGAGACATGTCACAGTAGAGGCACAAAATACAAATATGAACCTGGAATTTATCATATAATGTGCTTTTTAAAAATAAATGCAGGACTTTTTCTAAACTCAGGTATTAATATTTGTACTTAAGTAACATATCTAAGTAATACTTCCACCTATTGTAGAAATTCCATCAACAGGAATGAGTTGAGACATAATGAAGCTGTTGTTGTTTTTCTCAGGCCTCTCATTGCCAAGAAGAACCCGAAGATTCCCATGTCGAAGATGATGACAGTGTTAGGGGCCAAGTGGCGCGAGTTCAGCGCCAACAACCCGTTCAAAGGAGCATCTGCCACCGCTGTGGCCGCCGCTGTGGCTGCCGCCGTGGAAACGGTTACCGTGGCACAGCCGACGTCTGTCAGCTGCAGCCAGCCGAGCGCTCAGCCGGGGCCCATCAAAAAAGCCAAAACCAAAGAGGGAAAGGGTAAGGATGACTAACCCACCGCTGAACACATATTTTTAGAAATCCTAGTGAGAGTTCTGTGGGGTTAACGCTGCGTCTGTGTGTCTCAGGACCCGGAGTGAGGAAGAGGAGCAAGTCTGTGAAGGACGTGAAGAAGAAAGCCAAGCCCAAAAAGACCAAATCAAAGTCGGGCCAAAGTGTGAAGAAGAAGAAAGCGTCCTCGGTGAGTTTCTTTCTTGAATCTTCCAATGCTCATCCTCTGCTCTATATTTACAATGGCATCAAAGTGACCAGACTGCGCTCACTTTAAATGTTGGTTTATTTAAATTCCTCGTGTAGCTCTGAGCTCTTTTGTTTGTGTGTGTGTGTTTTTCCAGAGTGAGGAGGACTTCCTGGAGGAGTCAGACTTTGATGAAATCAGCATCCACAGTGCCTCGGTGCTTTCTGATACCTCGGGGGCCGCCACCAAGAAGAAATCCCGACGTGGGCGGAAAAAAAGGAAAAGTATGTTTACTCTCTGGTCTCTACATACGCCAAGTTCTGCGCTCTGTTTTCTTCCTTCCAAAATCTCATTTAAATCCCTCAGAACCACACTGTTTGATTATGGCTAACGAGGAACATTTTCTTTTTTTTCTTTTAAGCTTTATTTGTTTTGGGAATTTTTTCCAGAGGCCTGGCCTCACACCCATAGTCTGACATTCAGAGCACTCTCACTGTAATGTGTAAACAGTGTATCTTATCTTATATCTCATCTGCTGGTGACTACAGCTGCATACAAGTGCATTTCTGTGGGAAAATAAACTTGATTTTAAAATAAATAGATTTCAAAATTAAATTGTTAAAGGCCAAAATACATTTCTGATCTTCTGCTACATTAATCGATAGACCTCATGTCTCTTTGATAAAACATATGTCTGAAACAAACTCCCAGAAGACTGCAGGTCTGTTTCAACTTAGTTCTTTAATCATGGCTAAAAAAAGATAAATAAAAAAAAGAAAGAGATAATAATTGTAATCCAAACGTTCACAACAGATAACCGCCTCAGTAAAAGTAAAAAACACATAAGATGAAATTAACGAACTAACATCCCCCTTTATTTGGTCTTTTAAATAAAAATGTTTTCAGCTGTCGTTTAAAAGCTTACCTGAGTTTGCCTCTCTTATATGTCCTGGTAGGGCAGGGGTGGGGAACCTTTTTCCTCTCAAGGGCGATTTCAATTTTCTCAACATCCTCTGAGGGCCGTACAAATGATTGACCTCTGCTTTA